TCCGATCTTGATGAAGACCCTTTCAGCTGATAGACAACCATTTCTCACCTCCGGCAGCGTAGGTCATCCCATTTACACCCATTCGCGGCACCCTCTACTTATATTTCTTTGTAGTCCTAGGCTCAGACATGCCCTTATATTTAAAAAAAGCAAGGTGCAACCCTACTCATGGGAATGGGCCCACTGCAAGGAGTCAAATGAAATTAAGTAATGGCTTGGGTCTGAGATGACTTTGACAGAAGTAGTCTATAGTCTTTGTGCACCAATCTTGCCTAATAGAATCTAAGCTTTACGAGAACAGGGACCCCTTCTGCCTTTTCAGGCTGTCGTCTCAATGCCCGACATGGTGCCTGGCACCTACTAGATGCTCAACAAATAACTGCTGAATATATTTGTGATTAAATATTTAGGCACATATTTTACCCTGCTCTTTTTTAACTGATAAGTTCTTTCTTTTAATGGATGAGGCTTTTCCTGCCCACAGTGAGGCTGGAGGAATTAGCTGGATCAGGGGTGAAATTTGTTGCCAGGGCCAGAAGAGCTGGGCTGGGAGAGGCTTCCTTGTTCCTCTTGGGATGACAGAGGATATTTTGTGAGACAGATCGGGGATTTAGATCCCTCTAAGTAGTCAGAACAAGAAGAAGGTACCTGTTGCCATGGGTTTTAGAGAGGGTCCAGGCATGAGCAGCAGGCCTCTAAAGATGACTCAGAAACCACCTGGCTCTATCAAGGAGACAGAAGTGATGCATGAGACAAGAAGGAGACAGTCGTTTTTACTCTGGGTTAACATTTGTACCTGAGACTCAAATGTTAGAACAATTTAAAGAGACAACAAATATAAAGGAAGACCTTGCCGTTCTCAGTCTGGGCCCTGAGGCCGTTAGGGATGAGCCAAGATGCTCACACATGGACTTCCTTGGTGTTGAGTGCAGTTCCCATTCTTCCACGCAGGAAGCAGGAATTGATCTGGCCATAAACTAAAACAAGTTTCAAGCCTGCATACTTGCCGAACGGACGTTAAATTCACACAAGCATTCCAGTGAACCAGGAAACAATGTAAATTCCACTAACATTTGACCCCGTGCTGGATGCAATGCATACGTAAAAGATAAAAACATATTGTTCCCTTAAAGAACTTAAACTACAGTGGGCTGGATTTTTGTCTGAAATTTGCAGAAAAACATTTAGCGAGGCATGTTCTCACTAAACGTATTAAATCAGAAAACACATTTGAACTATCAAAGTAAGCTCAAATCTAAGCCACTATTTAATTTCACTCGGATCCTTGCAGTGGGCCCATTCCCGTAAGTAGGGTTGCACCCCGCTTTTATAAACATGGGGGCATCTGAGGAAGAATCAAGCTGAAGCCCTAACAGGTCTGCTGGTGGTCCAACTGAAGTTGCACAGACAGGGATCCACATGTGCCCAAGAAGTTTCTTGCTTACTGCCTTCACTTTCTTCTGAGGTGGGTAGGGACAAGGTTTCGGCAAGTCATTGCCATGCTTCCAGCTTCCTCTGGGATGCACCAGCAGCCTGCTTAGGTGTTTCTAAATGTGCCCCCTCCCACCCTTCCTTTACCCGAGAAAGAAGTCCTTAATGACCAGTCCAGCCTCTCAGCTAAGCACCGCTCCTCACTGACCAGCACTCCATTCCCCCATCTCTGGGGCCCTTGTCCAGCTTCATGGGATGAACAATGAGTGCACATCGGGGAAGATGCTTCCTTACCAGGCCAGCCTCTGCGTAACAACCCCACCCTCTCTCCTCACAAATCCTCTCTTGGGACAGCCAGGCTTTCCTGGGCCGCTGAGCTACGTTTCATTACAACTGATAAATAATCCTTTTTCAATTGACAATTTCCCTCTTTTGATGAACCCTGCCTTCCCTGCCCTCAGTAAGGACAGATTTGTTAGGAAGAGACCAGTAGGCTCTAGGAATTAGCTGGAAGTCAAGAGTGAAATTTCTCGCCAAGGCCAGAATGTAAATGCCTCTCGGAGCCCAGGAGAAAAGAGGGCATCATGCCACAGCATCTGCCCTTCTGGATATAAGCCTCAGGCCTGGTCTGTTTGCCCATGTACCCTATGATCTGGTTCCAAGGGCACCCTTTCAGGATGAGATGGTGGCCCTGACATGTACAACTGACCCAATTGTATTATTGCCTGCGGATTTTTTTTAAATTATACTTTTTATTTTTAGATACTTCTAGATTCACATGCAATTGTAAGAAATAATACAGAGACATACCATTTACCCAGTTACCCAAATGGGTAACATCTGCAAACCATATAATAGCAATGATTTTGACATTGCTACTTCCATTTAGTTTATCAGATTTCCCAGTTTTACCTGTACTCGTGGATATGTGTATATGTTTAGTTCTGCACAACTCTAACACATGTGTAAGATGTGTCAAGATACAGAACTTTTCTGTCACCACAAGAATCCTTCCTATTGTCTTTTTAACCACATCTCCTTCCCCTCCCCCCTCTCATCTCCAACCGCTGGCAACCACTCATCTGTTGTCTATTTCTATAATTTGCCATTTCAAGAATGTTATATCAATGGAATCATACAGTACGTAGCCTTCTGGGGCTTTTTCCGCTCATCATTATTCCCTTGAGATTCATCCAAGTGGTTGGGTGCTTCAATAGTTTGTCCCTTCTTATTGCTCTGCTGTGGTTTTAACCATTAAGCAATACTGCATCCTAACGTGGCACCAGGCCCAATTACAAAGCCTTTGGAACATGATCCTTAAAGATCTCTTATTCTAAGAGAGAAAATATGTTTCGTTTGGTGTTCTTGAGTGAGACAAAAACAAAACAAAACAAACAGGTTGCAAGTTTCTCTAGCATACCTCAGTTCACTTGTTTCTTTCCTAAAACAGTGGCTGATGGGGTGGAAATTCACTTCAGCATTGGTTGACAGTTCTTTGTTGTGTCTTCCACCTCCTTCCTTCCCAGGAACACATCTACAAGCTGATGAAGAGTGACAGCTATGCCCGCTTCCTCCGATCAAATGCTTACCAGGACTTGCTGCTGGCCAAGAAGAAGGTATCTTTGAGAAGGACAGGCTTGCCTTTCTTAGCACTGTTGATCCTTGCCTGCTGCTTGCTGCTGGTGTGAAATGAGAATATCATCCCTTGGGTTTTATTTACTTTCTCTTTTCCTCTTTCTCTCCTCTATCTGCTCCCATTCCAGTGGAGGACAATTAAGATTGTCACCCAAGCCCACCCCAAGGTCCATGGTGTGACATCCTGTCTCCATGTGCCCATTACCTCCATCTGCGTGTTCTGCCTACAGTGGGGAGTGTGACCAAATACTAAGGACACTGTGGCTCAGCACAGGAGTACAGGGCTGGGGGTGACACCATTGAATCCCTTAGAAAGCCAGAGAGAGCCCCTCACTGCAAAGTTCAGCCCCTTCCCCACAGACTGTCTCCCCCTGGCCAGCTCAGAGAGGAGTGTGAGGCAAGGATTGGGGTGGCCCCCTCATTGGATAAAATATGTTATAGGTTTCAAGGGGGCCATCTGGCACCTGAAGTCACTCCTGGGGTTGTCCACCCCTTGACATTGCCCCATCCTCACCTTAACCCAGCCCACAGGGTTTGTGTTTTCTTTTAACCAGGAAAGAACTGCATTCAAGCTTCTTCTTCCTCCTCCACTTAGAATTAAGTCATGGCTCCCTGCAGCCCTTGGTGTCTGGGTTTCGGAATCCAGGGACCCTCAGAATGCAGGCGGTGAAGGTTGACTGAGCAGGGATGAACTCACCTGGGTTACTGGGAGGAGGGAAGGAAAAGCCAGAGGGGCATGGGATCTGAGAAAGAGGAGGCAGGAGAGATGGCTCATGATTCCAGTATGCCTGCGAACCCTCTGCACTTTTCAGCTCTGATCTGAGGCCCACCTGTGTTGAAGTGTGTTACTCCTTGCACCAAATTCCATGACTTCCGTGCCATGCCATTTAGGGACATGTACATCTGCATCCTTTCTTCTCCCCTCTTAGCCTTCCAACCCCAGGCCCTATCATGTGGTTCTCCATCCACAGGCTCTCTGTCGGGCTTCCTCTCTCAGTCACGCGGCCCTTCACTCTGTGTACTGTCCATCGCACGTGCCAGGATCCTGTCTGCGTATCTGGTTGGCACCACATAACTCCAGAGCCTAGAAGAGTGTTTCTATCCTGCTCTCCTGCCCTGAAGTAGCCCCGAGGACATCCCTGATAGTCTGAGAAAGAGCAAAGGACTTCTGGAGTGCCCAGATTGTCAGAAACCCAGCTTTCTTGGTTGCCTGCACCCCTTCTGTCAGGGGTGTAGTCGTGACCTACTATGATAGAAATTGTGATACGTGGCCAGCTCCCTTGCAGGAGGCTGTAGTCGGGGGGCTCTGAGGGAGGGGCTGTTATCCCCGCAAGTGTCTCTGATGCCTACTTTTTCAAGAAAGGTTATGGAGACTTTGGGTATCTTCAGCTCAGATCTCATGGGAGAAGGTCAAAGTAAGTGTCTTATTTCTTGTGGCTCAAGATCCTGAACTGGTCACAATGTGGGGAAATTTTAGTCTCTGTCTGAGCAATCTGGACCTGTCTACACACCCAGAAGAAGCCAGAGGCCATCAGTTTCCTTGTGAGTTTGAGCACAAAGAGAAAATGCACCCCATCTCAGAGAGGGGAGCTGACATTCCTGCGCCTGCAGGTCCTCTCATAAGAGGAAGACTTCTCAGAGGAGGTCACTTGAGTGAGGAAGAACCCAAGGCCTTCCTGTGAAATGTTGCAAATGATATTCATTAGAATTATCCACCAGCCCCCAAATTAAGGGTTATTCTTATGGCAGCAAACCCTTGCAAATGCCAACACCCTTTTAATACTCAGGGATTGTTTCCAAAAAAAAAAAAAAAAAAAAGTGACAAAACCTACTCTTTCTTCCATTTCTCCCTGAGAGTCTCCAGGTGTGGACTGGATTTGTAACCCAGCACTTTCAGGTAGGCCTAGCATATCTTCTGATTTCAGGGATGGGTTTACCATGTGATATAAATGTCCAAGTCATAAAAGGTATGTGAAAGTCACAACCTTCTGCTAAGAGAGGGGACATGAATGAGACTGGCTTTTCTGCTGAGAAGGGCCCCCAATGGGGTCTGGAGACATAGCTTTCTGATCCTTCATCCTTGATTCACCTTCTATCCTAATGTTTTCTAAGATAAGGTTGGTTGCTTCGATGTACCAGGCTCTCAAGGGGCAAGTGAGCTGGGTTTTGATGGCTCCTCCAGGACAATTAAGTACCAGTGACAGTGATTTTCCAAGGCAGCTCCAAGAGACTGTGCAAGGCAGAGGGACCCAAATGAGTCGGGCCGGTGGCTACCTGCTGTAAGCAGCTACTCAGCAGCCAGCGTAAAGAATGATAAGCACAGCATGCTAGCTGCAGGGCCTGGGACTGGCCTGACTTGAGCCAAATGTCTGCCACCAGGGCTGCCCACTTTGTGGAAGTCGAGTTCTGCTGTCCCCAGAGTGAGGGCTTGGCGTGATACTCAAGGCCAAGCATGGATCCTTCAGTCCCTTGTGCAAGAAGAAAGACCAGCCTGGCTCTGCAGTGCTGCGTCTTTTATGTTGTGTTTTCCTTCTGCAATGTCCTGTCTTCTGGCGGCCAGCTGAGGGCATGGGGCATGACTGCCAAGGGAGCCCTCTAACCTGTCCCCATAGACAGATGGCCACCTGTTGCCCACTCCTTCTGCTTCCAGAACATTCTCAGACCCACAGAAACCTGGCTGCTTCTTCAGCTCCCTAATTTCCATTATTTGCTCTGTGTGTGTGTGTGTGTGTGTGTGTGTGCGCGCGCGCGCGCGCGCCCCCACATGAGTGTGTGTTCTCTCCAAATTTCCCAGACTTGTGCTCAGGGCCCCGGAACAAGGCTCTAGGATAAACTGGCAGGTGGGTATTTGGGGTGTAATTCTCTCCTCAGACCCCTTGAACAAGCAGAAAACCAACAGGTGCACACCATATTCTCCTCCGGTGGTGGGGAGCAGTCAGTCCCAGGAAGTGTTCAGGGGCTTTGCCCGCTTTTGCCCCTGTCGAGGACTCCTCAGCTAAGAGCTCCCCAGAAAGCTTCCTTGGAAGGGGTCACCCGCCTGGGTACTAAGAGAACATTTTCTTTCCAGAGCACTCCTTCCAAAGCCTGAGACTCTTTGCAAAGGACATGGGTAGGCCCTCCCTACTCTAAGGATACAGAATGAGAACCAGTAAGGGTCCATAAGTGAATCATTGAAGTTAGCAAACTTTCTAGCTGCTTCTGGGCAGGAAAATCTCAGCAGTCCCAACCTGGACCCACAGCCACTTTCTGATGTCCCATCAGCATCCCCCACATACCCTGCGGGTCCTCGGAGCTAGTCTGTTCTGGGTCCCCACTTGGGGCACCCAGATGGCTGCCCGTGGCCTCGGAGACTCAACCACCAGAAGCTATTGCATGTGGGCAGGGCCAGTAGAAAGCAATGAGCAGGCAATTCAAACTGTTGACTGTGGGCTGTGCAGAGCAGCAGTGGCTGCTACTCTGAGCCCTGAAGCACAATTAATGGCCCCTGGAGAAGCCCACACCCCTCTCTGCTCACTGCTCCAAGGAGGCCGCACCATTTCCTGTGGGCTTCTGTTTTCTGACTCTCCCACTGACTCTCGCATACAGCGCTGGCTGCTTCTCTTTTCCCGTTTTTTTTCGCCCTGTTTTGCTTTTGTTTTTGTTCATTAGCTGCCGCTGTGCTGTTTGGAAACCACATGTAAGCTGAAGATTTTTTTTTTCTGTATTTTTCTCCCTACCTTTTTTTTTTTTGTTCCTAAAGCCAGAAAGTGAGCAAGGTCGTAGAACTTCCTTAGAAAAGTTCACTCGCAGTGTGGTAAGTTCAGCTGGTTTTCTTCCCTCATGTTTCTTTTGTTTTTCTTTTCTTGGTTCTTTTTTGTTGTTGTCATTTCCTTTGGGGTGGGAGGGAGTCCAGTGCTTTCCCCCTCAACACACCCCTTTTCTTTTGCAAGTGTCTGCAGCTTCACTTCTAGGGATGGATTTGCAAAAGACCAAGCGGCTCCCTCTGCAGAAGGTGCACACATGACTGCCCAGCCTCGGGCCTCGCATTTGACCTTCAGCTCAGGGCTCTGAAGAGGAAGGACCCCACCGCCCTCTGGGCTGTGCAGTTTGTGCATCTTCTGTAGCAGCCCAGGGAGAAGGCCGTCGAAATGTACCATGAAATAAATTGGCTCAGAACCGTAGCTCATCTTAACAAAATTCCAAATTTCCTTCCGTGAACTCTGGCCGTCATGCGGGAGTGGGTCGCGAGCTGATGCTGCTGTGTAGGCGGCTTTTGCGTGCGCAGGAGGTGGCCGAGCTGCATGGGTTCTGGCGATGTGGTCTAGCTGGTGTGTGTTAGTGGCCTCTGCATGAGTTCATCCTTTACAGCCCCCTGCCAGCCTCATTTGCATAGTGTGACAGGGAGAGGACGGTAGTAGCCATGGGGCGGAGGGAGAAGCAAGTCCCTGCACTGTCCCTGTGCTCCCAGGGTCAAGGCCTGGACAAGCTCCCCGGGCCTTGATTCTCTTAGTTAGAGTAAAGAGGGGCTACATGTTGACTGTCTTTGTAGGGAAGTGGCTTTACCCCTGCACACCCAGCTTAGATGGCGTAGAGACCAGAAGGGTGGTACATAGGAGACCCTGTGTAACAGGTGAGAGCACTGATCACATAGGTATTTTTCGTGGTGCACGGTAGAGCCCCTCTACCGTGGTCTGTAGAACAGCACAGACCCGTCTCTGCTTGCCATGCCATTCTCTACAAGATTTGAACATCAGGCTTGATGCACAGGAAGTACTCAATCCCATTCATTCACTTGTCAAAAACAAACCTGCTGAGTTCCTGGGGCTCGGCCTGCACTGTTACCATGAAACCAAAGGGAACCGACATGGCAGCTGAGAAGCAGGGATCCTACCAATAGAACTGGCCACATTTCTCTTCCCAAAGGGTGGAAACCCAATGATGTCGACTTGCCTTTTCTCCCTCTCTGTTGAAGTCCTTGTAAAACCAGACTACTGAGTGAGTAGTATCTTTATTTCATTCCTTTAATAGAAAATCTAAGAATTGAAAGCAACCTAGTTGTTTACCTGTCATAGCTAGATGCATTTTAACTGAATTTAAACATAATTTTGAATTAGCTAGATGTAAACATCAAAGTAGCTCTACTAGGCAGCAGTTAAAATATGGGCGTTCATCTCTTCTCTTCTTTGGTCTTCTGTCTCTATGGTCTTTCCTCACAAGAAGTCAGAACTTTCAGAAGGCCTGCTGGTCTCCTATCTGTCTTCATGCTAGTTTGCCACGGCCATGTGGCTTTACACACCAAGCAATTGCCACAGAATGTCAAAGGCAAGGCCTATGGGAGTTCCTCCACCCCCGAGGGCCTGACGGAGGGTTGTGGGAACCCATTCCTCTCTGTCTCTTTCGAGGCCTGCATACAGTGGGTGGAGGATGCTTAGGGATTTCGTTGACAAGCCCAGAGTGTGCTTAGATGGCGTAGAGACCAGAGCGGTGGTACATAGGAGACCCTGTGGTAACAGGTGAGACAACTTGAACTATTGGTGCAAATTAGGAACGCAGGACCCCCACCGCCCCATAGAGGCCCTTCAGGTGACCATGTGGGCCGAGAGCGTGAGAGAGGTATTCAGATGAGATGTCCGAACATGTCCAGGCTGCTGTTCATGAGAAGTGGGTATCAGGAAAGGCAAGAATAATCTTGATAAGGCTCTGTGAAGAGCATTTATTGATGTCCCTTCATCCCAGAGTGGTGTTGGTTCAGTGGATCTCCAAGGTCTATTAACAAAGTGTTTGGAATGAAAAAGCACCAGACACTTTACCAGCGTCAGAAGTGTACACGTGGGAGAATGTACAGAGATGTTTTCAGGGCCAGCTGAAGGAGAAGAATCTCCCATGCTCCTGAGATTTTTAGCACCTATGAGATAAAAGGCCCAAAACTTCAAAAGTAAAAAATAAAAATTCCTAAATTCCTTGCTATTCTTATACAAAGACTCTAGTGGGTGGTGAATTCTGACCTTTTAGTTCCAGTGGCAGAAATGAAGATGGATTCGCACTGATCCCTCCATACTCCTGTGCTCTTGAGATCACACCACATCCCCACAGGACGTGGTTGAGTTTGAGGGGATGGCCCATGGCTGTAGAACAGTGGCGACGCTCAGTGTATTTGAGGCTGGAACCCAAGAACTTGGTTTCGACAGCCCAGGGTTCCAATCAAACAGAGTTAACCAACTAACCAATACACCTTGCAATCTGGTAGCCATTTTTCAGATATAATATACCTGAAGTGTTTGATTTGTATAAAAGAAGGTCTACATGACTATTTCATTGGCTACATACTATGAAATATAAAACTGGATGAAAGCCTAGTTCAGGAGTATTTTCACGGTGCTGGGAAGTATGTGTAAAAAAAAAAAAAAATCCATGTCATGGAGCTAATAATGGAAAAATGAGGGGGTGAAGTTAGACAGCTCATGGATCAAGGATGTAAGGTTGACTGCCATGTAGGATTAATTATTGGCAAGAAATGTTGGTTGGTTACCTCAGTCAGCTAGCTTCTTATCAAGACTGAATCTGAATCCAGAATTTGTCCCATGCCTATGTCCTTTCTTTTCTTGGTAAAGGAGGAACATTTGGAGAAAGCACATTGTTCTTTCCAGGTCTCAGGTGTATCACGACATGGAAGGATTCTCTGTTGAAGTTGACAGATGCTCCCTTTTACATGAGATCCTGAGGAGTAGCTTAATGCAGTTCATGGAGGCTGCTGGGGCCATGCTTATTTGGGTACAGAAGGGGCCTTGCAACCCCCAGCAGAGGGAGCGCTGCGTGAGCTTCTCCTTCCAATGGAAGCTTCATTCTGAGTCACTCAGAGCTTGAATATACAAAGCAGATGTCTGGAGGTGTGCTGTGCCGAGCATTGCGTAGTTTGGTGGACTGTGTAAAACCCTGCCTGTTTGACAGAGAAGGCCTGGGTTCAGAACCAAACATAACTGAAAGTCTGCAGCATGGCACGACTAGCCCATTTTGTACCCTTTTTCAAAACCAGAAATAGGATTCCCTCTGATGGGCCCACCTCTATAGATGCCCACCTGGCCAAGCAAAGCACAGGCTGGATTTCAGCTCCTACTTGACCCTCGGCTTCCCTTGTGTGGTGAATGACTCTCACCACTGTACACGGTGGCCCTGGACCCAAGGAGCCCCGGTCTCAGGAAGAGCTGTAACATGTAGCAGCTCCCCCTTCTCAAGGGGAGCCCCAGACATGGCCTCAGCTCAAATGAGTAGAGCCTGTCCGCTGGGAAGCTTTCTTTCAGGGTGGCCGTAAAACATGAAAGCCACAATAGGAAACATCTGGTACGTCATCGTGGGTTGCCTTTGCATCACCTGCCATCTCTTCAGGTTCTTTGGTGGGAAGTCCCAGGCATTACTGACTGGGGGAGGGGGAGGGTTCTCAAACTAAAGACAGCTTCCTACCGCTCAGTGCTGGCCAGCCTGCCATTGCCCGCTGTCATCCTGGTTTTGTGGTTGACAGATGAGGGTAAGAGGGTAGCCAGAGCTACAAGGCTCTCTCCCCCACTGTTGTCTCTTAGGTGAGCTCATTCCTTCATGGTCTACCACAAAGTGGGAAGGGCCTCACTAAGAGCTGACTCTGACATTGAGGACCAGGGGGTCGCCTCAGAGGAGAGTGAAAAGCAAAGGGCCTTTAGCCAGGTCTCAATAGCAGCAATTAGATTGTCTCTTTTAGGGTGGTAGCCAAAGTCATCCAGTGAGAACTCTAACCCACGAAGGAAAAGCTACAGAAAGTCCCCTGCTCCTTGTCTACAGTTCCACAGAGTGATGGCACTTACATTAGAGGAAGCGGCAGCCCCAAGTGATGCTGACATGAGCCTCCCTGGACACCTTTGCCTGGCATCTCAGTTGACGCCTCAGCTGCCCTCTTGGGAGCCTCTTCAGCTCCAAAAATGGAAAGCGGGGGCTGCTTTGCCTGAGCAAGCACAGGAGGCCACAGAGGAGAGCAGAGATGAGAACCAGGGCCTGGTGTGCTCATCCTCCTCCAGGAGGACATCGCAGTTGAGCTTTATCAAGGTGCTCCTTGAAATTGAAACAACTGGGGCCAGGGGCTGAAGGAGCTTTGGCTTGTGCCGAGTGGCATCTCTGCGACAGGCGTGCCTGCCAAGGAATGCAGCAGGAAAGTCAGATGGAGATCAGGAAGCTCTGAAAGCCAGCTGTCACCCTCCCCCTCCTTCTTCCCCACCCTTCCTCCCTCTCCGTTTCCTCCCTCCCAGCTGAAAGCTAATGAGAGCTAAAAAGTAGGCAGTTCATCCCCTCCCTGCCCCCTTTCAGGCAGCTCTGCTGGAAGAAACGCCCTGCTCCAGGCCCAGGTGCTGAAACGGAAGCGGAAGCAAATGGCAGAGGCTCCTGGCAGGCAAGGCAGGCGGCAGATAACCAGGGTGTTCAGCCAAATCGGCATTAGCAGCTCCTTCCCGGAGGACCTTGCTTTCCCCTCCTGCTCAGCCATGCACTCTGGTGGAGTGAGTTCTCAAAATCTGGACCCAGCAGAGCCCCCAGAGGGCTTTGATTTCAGTTGAAAAAAATATATATATGCTTTTGGGCCTCCAGCAAGGGACAATTGACTAAAAGTCTTTATGCGAGTTTGATTGCAAACAGTCCTTAGGCCCCTTTGGGACCACTAGGTCACAGACCAGACTGCCAGCCTCTCCCTTCTCAGAGCCCTGAGATCCAGCGGTAGTGAAACCCTGGCCTGCCTACAGATGGAGGTTGACTTCCACAGCAGTATTTAGGAGGGAAAGCATGAAACTCCGCCTCTTG